TATCTATCTATGGATAGATAGATAGATAGATATTCACACAATAAATCATGCCTATTTAATTTCATTTTTCCACCAGTCTGTGTTCTTTGATAGAAGATTGATAGTTTCCTAAAAATTTTTGAAGATTTTTCATATGGCAGAAACCTTGTTTATTATGTATCCAAAGAGTAAATCTAAGATCTATGTGTAAGAAGTACAGTGAAATAGAATTTACCTTCCAACAAGCAAATACCACTACCACCAAAAGCAGCAATAAAACAAAAACAAAAAACAAAAAACGGGAAAGTTAGTGTTTTGTAACAAAATGAAATAATATATCCTAAATAAACACATATCCTCATCATTTAAAATAATTGTGTGTAAACTAGTCAGTAACTTTGCAAAGATGAAGAAATATAAATAAAAGAATGAATGATTGAACTGAATAACCTTTAAGGTTGTTTCAATATAGAGAATATATTGACTTTACTTTTATCCACATATCCATAGTTCTTTTCTTTCCCAATTATGGTTTAATAGATTTAAAATCCTGAGGTATGAATCCTGAATCTGCCAGATGCTATATGTGAGAATGTAAGTTATTCAGCTTTCCTGATTCATTATTTCTTCATCATCATTAAGATGGAAATAATGATTCATACTTTATAGAGTTTTATTAAGGTTTAATTAGAATACGGTTATAAAAATTCTACATAAATCATAATTTTGTCATATTTTTTCTTTCCCTTATTTACTTTTTCTTTTTTTTTCCCCTGTCCTTTTCTTTTATAGTCCTCAACATTTCTAATCTTATTGTCATTTTCTATTTTTTATACTAATGATAGTTAAATAAAATCTATTTTCTAGTCAAGTTGTCTGCATTGAGATCTCACCAGAACAAACAAAATCGCTTTCTGAAGATACTTACTTGTCTTATAGTGTGAGTCATAGTAAAAGTTATTTGTTTGTTTGTTTGTTTTTTACTGTGAGTTATTACTTCCTTTTTCCTTGTGAATCTACTGACAATATCACATTTCTTGCAATCCTGATATCATAAATGGGAATGATAACAAGGAGTGCAAATAAGTGCCTTGAAAATCATTAACTTATGGTCATTCTCCCCATTTTCAGGATAAAATTCAAATTCTATGGCGATAAAGAATCATACTATGGTAACAGAATTCATCCTGTTGGGCATCCCACACACCGAGGGCCAGGAAACTGTTCTGTTTGCTGTTTTCCTGATCTTCTACCTCTGCACTCTGCTAGGAAATCTGCTCATTCTTTTGGCTGTGATATCGGATTACCATCTCCACACCCCTATGTATTTCTTTCTCTGTAACCTCTCAGTGCTGGATATTGGTTTCTCTTCTGTGAGCACCCCAAAGATGTTGGCCAACCTGCTAGTGAGGAGTCGAGTTATTTCTCTGGGTGGCTGTATGTCCCAGGTCTTTTTCTACCACTTTTTAGGCAGCACTGAGTGCTTGCTTTACACAGTAATGGCCTATGACCGGTTTGCTGCCATCTGCCACCCACTGCGTTACACCATCATCATGAACTGGCAGGTGTGTGCCTTGTTGGCTGCTGGTACCTGGTTTACTAGCTCCTTTCATGCCACAATTCTTACTACTCTGACTTTTCAATTGCCATACTGTGGGTCTAATGAAGTGGATTATTTTTTTTGTGACATTTTCCCTATTGTAAAATTGGCCTGTGGGAACACCCTTATCATTGAGACTGTAAGCTTCACTAACATCGGCCTTGTGCCCATGACTTGCTTCCTCCTCATCCTTGCATCCTATATTCGCATTGTCATTGCAATCCTAAAGATGAGCTCTGCTGAAGGGAGGCGCAAGGCAGCATCTACCTGTGTCTCCCACCTTTCAGTAGTCACACTCTTCTTTGGACCCTGTGCCCTTATCTATACTCAGCCATCCTTGAGTGAGGTGCTAGTAACCCCAGTGCAGATCTTTGGCAATGTAGTTACTCCCATGCTGAACCCCACAATCTATACTCTGAGAAACAAAGATGTCAAGGGAGCCCTGAAAAAACTACTTGGGGGACAGAGTGTTTCAGAAGGAAGTCACTAGTCCATATGTAAATTAAGTTTATGTTCCCCTTGCTTGGTATTAAATATAA